TTAATAATAGCGTGTCCCTAATAGTAAGACAGCTTGAAACTAACCGTTAATTTATAATTGCATAATCTTTACAAGAGGTAACGCTACGCACCCGCCGTAGACACAGTCGGAAAGAGCTCGTGCAGTGACGCTTTCAATGATGTTGAAAAGCGTTACGAAAATAATCGGTCCGTGATCTCCAAATGGGCTGGTCCGTTTTCCAAAAGTCTTGAAGCTCAGTGGGACTCTCCCAAGTCAGAATAGTACAATGGTCCAGTTGTAGTTTTTCATCTTTACACGCTTTCTATCAACTCACTCTGTCTGTTGTTGTTGTCATTGTATCCTCAAATCTTGTAACTCAATTTTAACCCACTTCCCATTGTGGTATCGACTGCAAACTTGGTATACTTATGTCATACTGATGACAATACTATATTATATCATACAAATAAAATTAAAAATATTTGTAAACAATCTTTTTTTATATGTTATATTTTGGCTTGGGTCTAATTGTCCACGCTCAACTGACGTTGGCTGTAAATCACCACGGTCCCTTACGTTATGGCAAGCTTCGGGGCCACTTCCTGGAGTCGTGGAGTTCTTACATTACTAGTAGGGTACATTTCATTAAAGCGTGTTTAAAAAAGTAAAAAAATATTACTTATTTAATGACTGCCCGCTTTTGTTGCGTGGAACTCTGTGCATTCTGACAAGTCTCGCCCCCCTCCCCCTCGCCTCCCTCCGCCACTGGGACGCAGGGGGAAGATGCTTTCTTGGATAACGATGACGAGGAGGGACTGGACAAGGAGGCATCTCAGACATGGGGCGGTGGGGCCAAGTCAGAAGGCATGAAGAAGTCACAGGGTCCGTCGAAGAAACCCCAGGGTGCGTCCAAAGCACAGGGTGCGTCCAAAGCGCAGGGTTCGCAGAAGACAGAGGGCAAGTCGGACAAAGAGAGCAGTGCCACTCCCACCTCCTCCGCTACGACCACGACGAAGAGCAGGCCGCAGGTGGTCAAGAAGGAGGCGGATGTCAAGAGCAGGCCGCAGGCGGTGAAGAAGGAGGTGGATGTCAAGAAGCAGAAGTCGGACGTGGGCGAGGAGGAGAAAGAACAGAACGTGGAGAAAGAGGAGAACGAACAGAAAGAGGAGCAGGGGGATGAGGAGGAGCAGCGGGAAGGAGAGGAGGTAGAGGGAGATGAGCACGAGGAAGAAGAGGAGCAGGGGGAGGAAGAAGAGGACGAGGAGCAGGGTGAAGATGAAGAGGGGGATCATGGGGAGGAGGATCAGGAAGACGAACAAGAGGAGGAGCAGATGGAGGAAGAAGCGGAGGGTGAGGAAGACGATTTAGAGGATTTGGAGGAGGTTGAGGATGATGCAGCTCAGGATGAGGCTTAGGGCCGAGAATCCCGTTGCTCGTGTGGCTCACTGTGGCCACGCCTCGTGCCACTCCCATGCGTGGAACAAAACACGGGGGCTGTCGAGTTGCATGGGCCGGTGATCTGCTGGACTGTTTGGCCACCAAGGAATATGCGGGGCCAGAGGTCAACCGTGGCTGCTGACCCAAGAAACTAACTATTTTTTATTTTACCAGGTAAGGCCCACTGAGCTATAGAGCTCTTTTTCAGAAGCGACCCGGCCACAAATGATGGCTCAAAAAAGGAGCTTATCTCGTGGAAATTTATAGCAGCCAAATGCTCTAAAACACGTGCTCCTGAACAGCGGCTGTGCACGATTTGCTTAGTGCTCGTAAATTCGGTCTCAAGTTCGGCTGCCGGCCCGGATATTATAGAGTACTTTGCTGACGCATCGTAAAGGTGGATTTTTTTTCGATTTTCAATAAATGCATTTTCTAAAATTGCCATGACTGGCGCACCTCGGTATTATATATGCATACATTTGGGTTGCGTTCTTTTAACGCTGAAACGAAAAATGAAAATCGTATTGAAATGTATTTTCCCGTAATGTCCCATAATATAACCTAAGAAATGATTTTATGACCTAAAACTTTCTAAACAAGATTTTCATGCATAAATATGGATAACCATAACTGGACAGGTATTTAAAAAGAAACGGCGTACACTATCATTTATTAAACCAGAAGCTTGGTGCAAGCCGTGCAAGCTGATTGGTATGGGCAGGGTGGTTACTGGGAGGGTAAGGAAGGGGAATTCGGAGCGCACAGTCCAGAGCGTGGTGGAATGGACAACAGCTTCAAGTACCATGAGAGGTTTTAAGGGTTAGATCGCGTAAATATAAATGTTAAACCCGCCACCACCCGACAGCCAATGAGTAAGGTTTGTCATGTAAACAGAACATGCCAATTCGTTACTAGTACAGCAACACCGGTGTATTGTAGATTAAACCCACAACATTTGCAATTATAATACGATGTTTCGCCAGTAATTACGACAAGCATCATCAGGCGAAAGAATTGTGGAGAAATCGTGTTTCGTTAAATATGTAAATAATGATGTTGGTCACGAAAGCCTGCGTGTTCAGCTTGAACTACGCTTGTTAACAAGTGGTGAGGAAGCGCGGCGGCCAGGCACGTGGCCTGGAACGCTATAAAATGCACGCACGGACAAACGACAACGTGCATTTAGTGTAGGTATTTTTTTTAGTAAAACGTGATTTATTTTTCTTCTATCTACGTGACTTTACTGAAAGACCCAGAGAGTATGAATTCCTGCAGTCACGAAAGCTTTAAGTCAAGATGTAGGTATTGTTTTTTTTCCCCCCCAAAAAATATTTAGAAATGTTTACCCTAGATGTTGGGTACAGCCGCATACAAAAATAACTAAATTGAGGACTGAACGCCATCGCCGCCCGCCCAACAATTGACAACCGTACGCCACAGATCGAAAGTAATGGAGGTGTTGGTCTGGCCAATATTTACATTGACCTCGAGTCAGTCCCGCTCTCATCCTCGGACATGGTAAGGTGGACAAGCTGAGCACTGGCTATGCCCCAAACAACCTTGTGGCTTCTGCTGTGGTCTGAATTCAAATGGAGTTGGGAGAATGGCATCACATCCCTGAGAGGGCTGTGTGATTGGTGAATTCGGGGTTGCATCACTCAATGCATAATAAACGATGTAAAACATAGGCGTGCAATGTACGATTTCTGCATGTACGTGTGATGCCAAAATTGCCTTGGTAGTGGAAGGGAATTCTCATGTGTGCCATTGAGGTCTACATGTAATCATTCAAACGATGTGATATCAGTAAATATGTATGCATGCTGATAATTTGAGCGTGTGCCTTGATATATCTTGATTGCCATATTGGTGTCCGCACAATTGTCTAAAATCATATATAACCGTTTACAATGGATTAACCAATTGTGATTACATCTGCGGGTATAACATGTTGCAGCGGAAAAAACGTTGATTTTATGACGAACATGATAACGAACGAATCAAAAAGGAATTTACATAGCGCCTTAACCAATAATTAATAATGGTACTTATGAATGTAATGGTGGAATCATCGTAAATAGAATTAACGTATCGGGGTACAACCTGTATCTTTTATATTGAGCAGTTGGTTATAATCAGCACAAACTTTAAGTTGGCCTTGTTTATAAGAGAGTGGTGGAGTTCAGCGTGTTAATTTGCAGTGTAAACTGTGGCTTTGGTGCAGATTGAGTTTTACTAAGGGAGGTGATTTGGAACTTTGTAACTCGGGGAGGGGGGTGCCCCCTATGACGAGATGTAGGAAAGCCTTTAATGTAAAGGCGGTCATCCAAATAAGGGCATGCACGTTCACAGGTAGAATGAGGAGCAGGTGGGTGGAGCTAACGGCAACAGGGAGGCCCTCTAGTTTGAAGGGATTAGGTCCTCGAGTTGTGCTTAGGATCGGGTCAAAGGGTGGACCCGTCTCTCTTGTCCTGCGCTGACCCTGTCAGAATGACGGGACTCTTTTCGGCGAATAACAGGCACAAGCACACTTGGAAGTCGAGTGAGCGAGTGCCTGGTATCGATTCCCGAGAGACAGTTGGGTACGTGGGAGATCACTTGTCCTGATGAGGTGGTCTCCATGCTGGGTGATTCTCTCCAACTTCACAGCGGAAGCGCCGTGAAGTTTATCATTGGTGCCGAACGTAGCTTCTCCGTGCAGGGTTTAGCGCGCTGCATGCGGACACGACACGGCCCGCATGTTTGACCCGAGCAGCCGTGCGGGGGAGACGAACATTGAGTGCCACCACAAATCATTGCGCTGTTCGATTAGCTGTTGGACATACTGGACATCTGTGAAAAGAGCTTTAAAGCTCATCGGATTTCTCCAGTTTTCCATTTTCTGATGTAAGGTTGGCAGTGCAAGAGCGCCACCTCGTGGCTACTGCTCCAAATTCAGGGGAGAGGCACTGCACAGGGCTGACAATGCCAGCACTTCAACCCCACGAGGGCCAGCAGTAACCACGGGCGTAGCTTACGCCAGTGGTGAGCCCCGCAGAGGATACGCGAGTGTAATCCCTGTCTTCGACTGCCACTCCATTCGTTTCAACCACTGGCCATCAACACCTACCTTAAATCTTGACTTAAAAGCTTTCGTGACTGCAAGAATTCATATTCTTTGGGTCTTTCGGTAAAGTCACATAGGCTCAAAGAAAATAACAAAAAACTACGCTTCCATCGCAACACAAGCAGTTGTCATCAGGAAAAGGGGGATAGCCTTTAATGTGGCTGTTTTGGTGTGAGAAATTTAACCTGTTAATGTAAAATTGGAGAGCCGAAAATAACTAACATCGGAAGGTGGCAGGATGGGAACATCACAGACAGTTGACTTAAACTAGTTGATGACGAAAATAACTAATATCGGAAGGTCCTCACCAAGCCTGCTTATTTTGATCGGATGCTGTCTTTAAACTCTTTTCCAAGCGTGCATCAATTCCATGCTTGTGAACTTTTCAGTTTCATATTTAGTTCCTTAAAAGTCCACATACATGATCCTTGTCATAGGATTAAGCATTAACTAATCAATTTCATTAAAGTGGCCGAAAAAGTATACTTCACAGGGATTAGATTTTTCAGTTTTTATTGTTATTTTAACCTTGGATGGGAAATCTGCAAAAACTAAACACACCGTTAATCATCAGACATTTACAAATTCATTTAAAACTACCACGTGACACTTGCAATTAAAACGGCAAATGGGGGGCAGGGGGGGGGGGGAAGCCAGGTTATATGGCAGCCTCCGTAAAACACCAGGCAAATAATGACGGTCGCTTCTCCGCTGTGTATATGAATTACATTTTATTTCGGACAATTCGACCTCCCCCATTTCAGGCTCAGTTGGGAGTGGAAGCATTTGTTAAGCGTGGTGTGAAAAGCGCAAAAAAATGTACTGATAAAAAAAAACTTCATAATTCCCCAGCAAGCAAAAAAAACCCATTGGGGCGAAACTTAAAATTGTACAAAGTGACTCGGACCCAGCACACACCGAATGAAAAGTCAAAATGGAAGATGGTAAATGCCTTTATATTAAAAAATGCAATCATATCTATCAAGAGTTGAATGAAAAGTAAGAACAGGGAAACAGCCCTCAATTGGAATAGCACAATCAAGGGCGCTTAATTCACACACTTGCGTTTAAAAATGGCTCTCTAAGCAACGGCTTCAGACCAAGTAACAAAAAAACCTTGTCCTTTTTAATAAACCTTCCTTTGGGTGGCATTACATCCTCCGTCACTTAAATATTTTAAAAGATGTACTTTACGAACGTCAATCAAAGGTTTTACTTTGTATGCCTTTTCCCAATTTTCACAAAAAACTGGCGGCGATTATATACGGAGACGTGCGTCGCGCGTAAATGATGCTGCACATCTGCCATCACAGGGTCTTCGGGTTGGTTATCACGAGAAAACATGAAAAACAAAGAAGCTAGCCGGCCGTACACCTGCAATACACGGCGATAGAAACACGTACGTTTTCTCGGACGACAGAGCCCCACTGAAAATAGGTGGAATTCAAACAGCCGCCGCTGTTGCCCGAAAGCTTTACTTGCCAAGAACACCAACAACCACATTGTGAGAACTGCACGGGGAGGAAGGACGGGACGGACGGTTGCGGCCGGAGGGCTGCACACACACACACACGGCTGGCGCGTGCTGCGGCGGAAGCGGCGTCGCCACGGTTGTGACCGTACAACGCTAATTCATGGTGCTCCCCCCCCCACCCCCCACGCTTTGAAGCTTAAATACGAGGGGCGAGGGAATAGTCGTCGGCACCACGTGCGCTCACTAAACATCGAGACATAGTTGACAAACTGCCTGACACAACTGCCGCTTCCGAGGCGATCGCTAAACGAGAAATGGTCCAACGCAACGAACATACGCACGCCCCTCCCTTCGCGACTGCCACAACTGCACTCGGTCATTCGGCCACAGACGTACTCTTTTTTTTAAGTATACAAGCCTTCTGGACAAGGCCACGTATTGCACGTCTCCTCTCTCGAGCTTGAAACCACGCACTACTGTGGGCATCGTCAGGCGTCGAAGTAACTTCACCCCGGTTAAGATTCCTCACTTTTAACGCCCGCGGCGACGAAAGCTCGCGAGAACAAACGCTCGACACGCGACCGACCTTGGGAACGCCACGCCAGTGTTAACAAAGTGGCTAGGCAAAAAAAAAACCTGCACGCTCGGTTTATTCCTGTAAAGTTTCAACCAACTCTGTGTAACACTCCCCCCCCGCCCCCCAACTACTTGTGGGCAGCTCCCCAGCACACCCCCCCCCCCGCCACGAGCGCACGCCACCCCCCCACTCTCCCTTTACTCATTCCCCTCGTCCTGCCCCTCCATGGCGCTGGCCCCCTCCGCTCCGTTCTCCCCTGGGTCCCCCTCGTTAAAGCCCTCGAGGGCAAAGCCTTCCGCCACCTCCTCGTCATCGCCAGGCCCCTCTGTCTTCACCACCTCTTCTTCCCCATCAGCGCCTCCTTGCTGGTGCTCGCCGGACTCCCCCGCAGCGGCGCCGTCCTCCTCGGTGGCCGCCCCCCCCTCCTCCTCCTCGCCGCCCTCCTCCATGTGGCTCTCATCGCCCTCGTCGCCGTGCCCGGCCTCCGCCTCGTCGTCGTCGTCGTCCTTGCCCACGTCTTCGTCCACGAAGGGGTCTTCGCCCTGCCGAGCAGAACGCCAGGAGAAACCGGAGACACACGGAATCGAGTTACGTCAACGAACGAAAACGTACAGATGCGTGGCGTTGCATTATCACATATCTCAGTTCCACGCAAAGCAGGGCAAACCCCAATCCTTTCCCGCCAACCTTGCTAAAGTAACATGCAACGCTAAAATTTCAACAAATTAAGCGCAGCATCAAATTGTACGCGATCAAATATTATCGCGACGTCAAACTTATGCCTATCAACTCGCTCCCGCTCGAGAAACCCGGTTTTAACTGCAGGTGGGCGAGATCTGGAATCGAACAGAGGATCTCAGCGGCAGCGGCTCAGCAGTGACCCGAGCCACCTGGCAACCTCAAGGGTAATGCTACTTTAAAGAACCGTTACAATCCTGATAGAACTGTGTGGTACGGAACATCTTGTAGTGGGCGAGTTGAATGCCCAATGCCCCTTGTAGGCTTGCGGGAGGGCCTTTTGTCCATAATGGCCCGTGGGCCGCACACACCGCCTGGGGTTGAGAGAGGGGGAGGGAGGCAGGTACCGGCGTATTTTGGATCTCACCTTCTTGAAGCGCTCGTAGTAGACGGCGTTCTTCTGGCTCGTGACGACGGAGCGCGCAACGTGCACCATGTGCCGCTCGCTCACCTCGGTGTAGCCCTGCCAGGGGGGTGACGAGAGAATGTGCCATCGCCACCGCAATTATACCCAAGCGAAAGATGGGGAGGGACGTGGTTTAAGTAAGAGTGGGCCATTAAGTGCTCGCATCTCGGGCCAAATTTTCCGATTAACAGAAGATGTACACTGCAAATATTTCTCAACTGGCATCACACGTGGCAACATCACCAGAGCGCGTGAAACTACCGCAGAAACACAGCACGTTCGCGATCACCTTATGCTACAAGAACGGCACGGATAAGAAACGTACCATATAACGATTACGAAAAGCGGGAGACAAGACGCGTGGGCGTTGGTATGCGCTCGTTACCTGCTCCGCCTCGATGTGCATCATGGACTGCATGTGGCTTATGACGGGGCCCCGAGCCAGAGGGATGAACATCTTGCAGGCCAAGCATTGCACCACGGTGGCCTTGCGCATGCAGTCAGACAGCTCGATCCCTGGGCAGGGGGGGGGGGGTAACAGCAGGCAACGACGCGTACGTTTAGAATAGGGGTGAGAAACACTTTTTCCTTACCGGGGGGGGGGGGGGGGGGAGGGAAAACAGCACCTGGCCACGCACAGAGAGCCACCTGGTCACCTCTCATGACCCAACGCTTATTGGGGAAACGCAGGTGGCAGCCGTTAGCGGACTGCACTGCGAGTGCCATCCCGAGTCTGATTTCCAGCCACGGCTAACGTTGGTGACGAGTGATGTCTGAACCAACCGAGACACTCCCCCCCCACCCCTTCCTTTCCCTAACCCACACCCATTATTTGACTATACCTCATCACGCTGGTGAATAGGGGTTTGTGACAGTGGGGATGTTGTTTGACAAAGGTCAAACAACCATCACAGCGTGGCACTGGCCTTAACACAACCAGCAGTGGACTGAGAAGGGGCCATACACGTAGAGCGAGCGACTTCGCGACCTTGCGGCTGAGAGTTCAAATCCTGGTCGAAGGTTTACTATTCATCAACCCTCGGGGATCGATAAAATGAGCAGCACTTTGTGCGGATGAACAGTGGTTGGCGCCAAGGAGAAACTCGCCCTCCAGTCTCTCCACAGGACAATGAGAATCTTCGCGAAGCCAGAGTCTGAAACGAGCGTATGGTAAAGCGTTCGAGTGTCCATGTGCAGTCCTACCATCCAAGGGATCCTTGAAATTGAATGGAGCGCTGTTGGCCTCCTCCCAGGCCTTCCTGCCAGCGGTAGTTTTCTTCACCTTTCTGAACAAATTCGCCTGGGGAGCAGAGCAACGCAGCCGACTTAAAGCCGTGGGCAGAGCGCACCGACACGACACCGGAATGCTTAATAATAGGGGTTTTCCCCTTTTTTCTGGCAACAAAACTGAAACCTTTTTACAAGGATTCATGTCTGCATTAACCACAATACCTGCAGTCAAAATGCAAACAAAAAACATACTATGATAATATATGCATTGTCCTTGAAACTGATTGGTCCACACCAAGGGACGGCCAAAGAAATACGTCCCTTGGTCTGGACCAATCAGTTTCAAGGACAATGCATATATTATCATAGTATGTTTTTTGTTTGCATTTTGACTGCGGGTATTGTGGTTAATGCAGACATGAATCATTGTAAAAAGGTTTCAGTTTTGTTGCCAGAAAAAAGGGGAAAAACCCTATTATTACATTTTGGTACTGGCAAAGGAGGTCTAATGACCGGAATGTTTGTTACCCAGCAATCGGAAGAGGAACGCAGCGCCCCACATCGGGGTTGCGCTTTACACATGTTGTACTTCTTATGCACCGTATGTAGCCAACTGTGCTAATCGGAGGTGCGGGAAACCAGTGAAGCAATCGCGCAGTGGAAGGGCTGCACCTTTATCTTTTACTTTACACCACCGCACCAATCGAAACGACGCGCGTGGGGAAACTCGCCTGCAGGAACGGCGCCACGAACTTGTCGTCGGGGAAGTGCTTCTGGACGATGGCGAGCACCTTCTCGTGCTCCTCACCCTCCAGATGCTTGGTGATCTCCTCCTCGTTGCTGCTTGAGTACTTGCACAGCGAGCAGTAGTACTTGAGTCTACAAAGAGATCGCGGCGCCGCATGTTAGCGCTGTCCACATTAGCGGCGGGCGGCATCTACCAGCACGCGAAATTAAAATTATTTTTTATTTTACCAGGTAGGGCCCACTGAGCTTTATAGCTCTTTTTCAGAAGTGACCTGGCCACAAACGATCGCTCAACCAAGTGGCTTACTCTAAACGCGTGTTTCTAAGTGTGAAGGGAAAAACTATAGGACCCGCAGAAAAAAGCCACGTTGCCACGGGGAGAGACACACGGCAAACTCCAAATATACAGGCGTCAGGATTTGGGATCGAACCCACGATCTCCTGTATACCAGACAAGGCAGTTCACATCTCACCACCACAAATTAAGGCAGCCAAATACTCTGCGGGGTGTTAAAAACTACAGCGTTTAGCGCCCCGACTTGATGAAGCTCTCGGGAAAACGTTGGACACCATGCCAAACACCACAGGCCAATAAAACATCACTGACCCTTACAGCACGACCACATAAACCAATGTACTGAATGCCTAGGTTGTCAGAGGCAATATTATAATACCCGATTCATATTTTGATTAGGCTACGTAGTGGATCTGGCAATTTTTTTGTGCCAGAGTTTGTACGCATCACAAGTTAATCCGTCTGTATAATGCTCAACGCTCTCTTGAGCTTTGAGCATTATCAAGTCCCAAGAATTATCAAGGCATCAAAGTGTCGGGTTCTTTGAATTTTTGCTAACTTTGGCGTGTGTGTATATATGCACCATGTGCACTAGCCCATTTAGATAACAATCTTGATTTGAAATTTAATTATGAAACTATAATCATTATTTCTGCGAAGCCCGATGATGTCACTATTTACATTGCAGTACATTTCCGGTAACATATCCTAATTCATAAAAATATTTTTTTTATACAGACATAATAGGAACCCAGAAGACTGATGCTCACTTTGTAAAAAAATCATCGAGATACATCTTTAAAATAACCGTAGTGAAATCTACTTTTTAAATTTAACAATTTAGAGTTAACAATGAGGCTAAAAAGATCAAGACCATCGCCCGTCACATTCCTTAACAACAAACCCCGACTCTAGGTAATCCTTTGAAAAACGCTCAAAAGCCACCACCCCACCAAGATGATTTTCCGCACTAAATCTTTGCACACGTTGGACTTAGCTCTAAGTAAAGCGGCCACCTGAAATTCAAAGCTCTGTGCGGTACAGCCACCGCCGATGTAAGCCGCGTGTGTGTGTTAGAGCAGGGCAGCTGCCTGGATTTTTAATAAACCGGTGGCTCACCTCTTGCTGGTTTTCTCCATCATTTTGACCTTACTGTCTTTTTTCTCTTCATTAGGAAAGCAAAAAAAAACACAATTTAGGACAGTGTAGTTACACGAGCTGAGATTTTACACATTACAAATGATAAGTCTCAGGAAATATGAAACAGTAAAATCTGAAAAGGTTTTTACAATTAATGTGCGTTGGCTATACATATTGTTTACCAGTGTTTAATACACGGTCATATTGAAACTCGTTCTACATTGATTTATCGCAGATTATGATTGTCGTTAAACAACACTGAAGGTGATAATTTATAACCAACTGGAACTCAAGGAATTGAACATGATAATACAAATCTGGGTGCAGGTCTTACTTGACTTATCCTTATCGTGCTTAGCCACCTTCTTCTTGGTGCCACCCTGGTTGAAGTTCTTCCTCTTCAATGCTGGATTCATCATCCAGGGCATGCCTCCCCTCTGTGGAAACTAAATTCAGCAACACGTGCCTCAGAACGCGGAGACCGAAATGCACAGCAGCTCCACGCACGAAACATTTCACAAGCGTACCGCACATTTGGTCGGGCGGAAGCCACGCAGCCTCTAAAAAAAACACGCAATAAATGCAAACCATGCATTTTCCATGACTAAACGCAAATTTTTTAAATGATTTAGCAGGTAAGGCTCAATGAGCTCTACAGCTCTTTTTCAGAAGTGACCTGGCCACAAATGATAGCTCAACAAAGTGGCTTATCACATGGATATTTATAGGAGCAAATATAGTCCCCAAAAGCATGTTTCTAAATGTGGAGGGAAAAACTGGAGAAAAATCCATGTGATCATGGGTCATGATCGAACCCATGACTTCCCGTATACCAGGCGAGGTAGTTAGCATCTCGCCACAATGGCCCAGTGGTGTATAATGCATGGTCAAGTGGTTCGAAGAAACAAAGTTGTATACGAGGCACCAACAAATCATCAGGTGGTCAATTAAAGTGGCTCTGTACGCTCGTGAAGTGTTTGAATACGGTGTACATTCTGTACATATTTTCAGTTAAATCCTTTGAACAAAAAACAGTGAAGGCCTGTCCAACTGAAATGCAGGGCCTTTTTTACACTCACCACCATTTGCACTCATCGTTTTCCATTTTACACAGTGTGCATGATCGCATTCCTCGTGCATTCACACACACGCGCACGGATAGGTTATCTGTGTATGTGAAATATGCACAATGGTATAAGTTATCAGAGAAAGCGAGAGTCTCGCAATTAACTCATTAAAAGGCGGCTGAAGCTCAAAGCTGGCAGTGCTGCCAGTGAGCCTGGGCTGGTGGTACTTACGGGACGGCCCGGGAAGGGGTTAAATCCGAACCCTCTCCCCCCGCGGGGGTTTAACATCCCGGGAGGCGGGGGCCACATCCCGCGAGGGCCGCCACGGAAAGGGGGGCCCGGCGGCGTCGGCGGCCCCCCGCGCCTGCCAGGGTGGAACCCCCGGCCGTAGGGACCTTGCCACCCCCCCTGGCAGGGCGGGCCCCCCCACCATCCACCTCCTCCTCCGCCACCCTGGCCCGGCCACTCGGGGCCTTCGTTGGCCCAGCCGCCCTGGCCGCCCGGTGGGCCCCACCAGCCAGACTTGCCTCTGCCGGGGCCGCCTCGGCCACCCGCACCCCGGCCGGGCCCCCCTCCTCGACCGCCCACCCCAACGCGGCCTCCTCCACTGCCACCGTTGCCCCCGCCCATCCCACGGATGGCACCTCGGCCACCTCTGCTGGGGCTCTCGCGATCGCTGGGGCCAGACGAGAAGCTCGAAGCCCCATAATCCTGCTGCTGCTGCACTTGCTGCTGCACCTGCTGCTGATTCTGCTGCGATTGGCCAAAACTGCTCTGCTGCTGGCCATACTGGCCCTGCTGTGTCCCATACTGGCCAGATTGTGTAAACTGCTCCTGTTGTTGCGGCTGTTGCTGCTGCGTTCCGTACTGGCTGTACTGCTCCGTCTGCCCATACTGGCTGGTCTGCCCATACCCGTAGTTAGAGGAATCAGCCCTGTGGAATGAGAGGAAGAAACAAGTGGAATTACACGACTTTTTAGAGCGATTGTGTAAACGCCAATCGCAGTGCATTGCCAACAAATCCACTGACATCTATTTTTACGTACATATAACACCTGCATTAGGTTTAAAGGTTGGTGAGCTGTGAACACAAATGACCAAATCATCTAAAAGCATGTAATTAAAATCCATCTTGAGAATTTAAGATTCCTTAATGTTTTGTTGAGCCATGAAATGAATTACGAGAAAATGCATTACACGGCCTAACACAAAAAAACCCACGTGTTAAGTCAAAAATGAATGTTTGTAAAGTACCACTTTGTTTAAATTTGATTTTAAGACAACAAAGTCCGCATTGGTTGAAGTATATATGGGTCTTTACTCCTGTACATGTGTTTGCAATATAATGTCACTGACAATTTTGAAATTACATAACACGGTGCCAAATAAATAACTAAAATTTTGGCTAGAAAAGCACGCTTAAGTGCCCGAAAAGAAGCCTGCGAGGGTCAATAGCGCAAGTAAATTTTGTTTTAGTGCTCAACCTAAATCGCAAAACAATTTACTCATCAGAAAGGGTGCCACAGAAATTCGGAATAGAATATTTATACTTGAATCTGATGAGCTCTAAAGCTCTTTTTCACAGATGTCCAGTAAAGGCAGGTTAGAACGTTATGACAATAAACCTGGCCAAAGGCGACTGCAAGATAGTAAGGTTCTGGACTGTTTCCAAGTGGATGTTTTGTGCCACGATTGAGCCTGTTCTGGACCAAAGTCCAAGGGTGCCGTTAATGTCAAATGTCGGCTGTGGAAAGCATACGTGAATATTGATGCCATCGGTGACCCGGGAGGGAGGCGAGGGGTGTTGCAATGTAATTTCAGCATGATGGGCATGGTTAAGCAAGGTGCCGAACTTTAGGTATGCTCCCTAATGGGGCAAAAGTGTAATGATTCAAAATCAGTGTCGTTGAACGGCAAGACCAAATGCGCGAGTCTCGAAGGCCTACAACTTTTCTTTCTTTATAGCCTCATGTCAATTGACGGCAGGATGAGGCCTCGCCGTGCGTTGTCAGTCGGGGAAGTTGTGTGACCGTACTTCAACATGGTGGTTGGTAAGCGTGAGTCCCTGGACCGAAACTAAATTTGGCATGTTCAGTGCGATGTGCTAACCACTGCGCCACCACTTCACCCCCCGTTCAAATACACTTGATATTTCATCATTTGTCTACAGACTACAACAGACATGTAGTGGTTATCATGGTCACTTACCCGGTGTGCTGGGTGGGGTAGGCAGAGGTGGCAGCTAGAAAAACAAACAGGTTCGTTAGGCCCCTGCCAATAACTGCAACAACAAAAATGTGTATTTGCAATTGCCAAATACGTGTTTTAAGACGGAGTTACCATTACGAGTCAAATGATCTGCATGAAAGAACTGCTTCAAGGATGTCAATCAAGTCTTATGAAAAACATTTTAGCCACTGGTAAAAAAGAAAAATGCAAACAATGTAACTAACAGGCACTGCACATCTGGTGGCATGCATGAGGGGCTGGTAATAAAGAACACTGCACTAAGCCCATCATGTTATCAAACTGGTCTCTGCAAATACAGCAAGTTCAAAGGTGAGGCGACGGTCTAGAAATTGGTCATTAACATGCAGCCATCCCAAACGCAGAAAAGTAAATCGTTTTGAGGAGTAAATTAGCCCGTGGAATGGAAAGGAAATTGCATACACTGGTCGGCTGGTGTCCCATCAGACTTCAGCATGTTGACCACCTGCATTAAGAGGTTGGCTGCAGTTGAGCTGTTTTGTGCGCCTGAACCTGCAGGGCCTTGAGACCCAAACATGAGAAGGGGGCGAAGAAAGAAGAGAGGCTATACTCATCGTAAATAAAATGCGCTGCCTCAGTGAATTGCTGGTTATATATGAAATGGACAAATAATTCAGTGGTGTTTTACTACGGGGATGAAAACACTAATGCACTGACCGGCTCTTGCCCTTAACATCAGGATGCCAACGGAATTTTTAACAGGCCACACTCTGCTGTGGAGACTTGGCGACACAAAAGCCAATCCAGTGTTCGCCTGGTTATACGGAATGCCACTGGGATAAATTTATTCAGAAGGTTCGTTGGGCAATAGATAATTTGATTATGGCAATGAAATTCACCAATAATTGTTTGACTCCTTATATCTGCATGTTTTCCCACGGTGCAAATGGAGTTAAAAGGCTTCATGGAAAATCCTGGCCCTGCGATATTGTAATTTTTTTTAGATGCAATGAAACCCCTCTACAATTAAAGATCTGCACAAAACAGAAGCTCCCAACTTTTACAATGGGCTACATCTGGTCATACATACGTAATCCCTATATCTACAAAATTAACATGCATATTCTACAGTTTCAAGCATGAGACTACACATTACTACGCTATTAAATGGTGCGTATTTAACTGCACTGCCAACATATCCACAACTCCCGGAATATAACACATTACACCCCAGGGCTAGCAATGATGGAAGACAATTCCCGATTCTCTTTGAAAACAAACCTTCACAAAGCTATGTTTGCATCATATTTAATGACAAAAAATTACGCAAACTCTAGGTCTTGTTGGGCAAACAGTCGTGTTAATATCTAGAGCATTTCTGTATACTCTCGGGTCTTCACAAAGCCATCTCTCGACATAACGCTTGCATGCGTGTTGGCTCGTAATGCTATTGTTGTAGGTATGGATGTCGCTAACAATTGGGTCAGGTTCATATTCCCTGCACCTGCTGGATGTGTCCACATGGCAATGAGCCAGCACTTCTGGGAGCAGCAATTCTTGCGTGTTATTGATTCGGATGAATGCATCTCGAGTGCAACCAATGTGACCAACTCCATCCACGGCGTCGGTCAATAAACGGAGTAAAAAAAAACGATTCTGGAAATCTACTTTAGCCTTTCCAATGTCTGAAGTTTTTTTTTGCCAAAATGTGTTCCAAATCTATTGTCAAATGGTTAAACTTAGTTGCAAAAAAAAATGTTTAGCGACCAACTTCTTGTGTTACTTCGTACATCAGTGAAGGCAATAGTTGGGACGTAACTTTGTTCAGAATCGTTAACAAAAAGTTTGTTGCACGTGCAGTATTGCAGTGATTGGCTGAACGTGGCACCACTGGGGTCATCATGGCAATGCAATGAACATTCATTCTACATGGAATTTTTTAATTTTTTACGTGTGATGGCATGAGTATGTTTAACAACAGAAAAATGGACATCTACATTTGTAAAGGAAAATGAAACTAACCCTGATTATATTACTGTTGATTTTATTTGTATCTTATTTAGTGATGTACAACTGCTCCAATTGTTTGGTTTCTTGGGCAGGCTAAAGGTTCAAGTCCTTGTCTATATACATCCTGGGTTAGGCGAGGTGGGCGTCTACAAAAGGGGGTGAATGGGGGAGGGAAGAGAGCCTTCCTAGCCCGTACTCTAAGAATGAATCAAGACGTGCACTGACACTACACCGACTTGGTGTTAATATGTAACTGTTATGAATCAGAACCAATGGAAGTTGTAGCGTTAAACATGAGCTGCTGCACACAGTGCTTAAAGTAAAAAATGTTAAAACTTCAGCTAGTTTAAATTCTACGGACCATTTTTTTGCTTCTAATTTAATCCCTTCCAACCACCTAAGCCACAATTCCGGCAGCTACGACAACTTTAATGTTACTCGATGCATTTGCGACCGATGTCGTGAGGATCATTAATAGAGACGGCTGCAGATACTGCATCTTACACGTCGGTGTATTTGCGCTTTTAACATTTACCCAGGGCACCTGTGTTTGCGGAGGCGTTATCTGCTTGTCCATAACCGTATCCGGCGGTGTTGTAATTGTAACCATCCGTAGGCCTCTCGGAAGAGTAACTGGACGCCGCTTGCCTTGAGTCGCCAGTGAACTGGTTATTACTTGTGTTAAATGAATCTAAGGTAGGCCGCACCATACAACGAGAGGAATATATAAATCGTATATATTAGCAATGCAGATATTGAAATACACACCTATAAATACAGATAACATATATAGCCGAGACTACTGTCCCCGCATAATTGTGGCAAGAAAAGCAGTCTTAAGTACTATTTTCCTAACCGCTCAACCCTAAGGGGAAAACTATATCAATGGCGTTAATATTTTTAACTAAAAACTATGGAATGTCTTTGGACAAAAATCTGCTTTATGATTGGCCAAAAATCAATGAGCGCCGTAGCGTTCATACTCCCGTTGCTTTTCCCGCATTTGCGGGCACAGTAGTCACTTCCTAAACACTGCACATTACATAAGTACTAATACAGGATAAATAAACACACAACACGTTTTTTTCTCAGAGGTGTTTTCAATCCTATCTTTAAACGTCGCATCTCTACGTTTCCTGCTCTGCCGTGTGGCGTGCCTAGCACACGCCGATCTCCTGCGAACATAACCTCAACTATAATTAATCCCTTTCCAAGCTGTTCGAGATGCGTATGTACCCCCCTCCTTTGTCACACGGTATTCTATCGACCGTTTATACATCGTGGCCCGATGGAATTGAAGCTTATCGGTAGACATTCGAAAGCACCGTTTGCGACTTAGCATTTAAAATGCGTTAATTCATACTTTGGCAAACGTTAGGCCTCGCGCAAGGAGAATGATGCGACTTGCAGCAATGAGATGTGAAATAATAAAACAATGGAACAGCAGAGTACTGCGTTTGGAAACTAATGATACAAAAAATACAGTTCAAGCAATCGCTTCTTACTCGCCCCATCTCCAATGCATTGTTTAACGTGACGACCCGATGGTCAAATAAACGCGGGCTGGGTATTCAAATTCGGGACCAATATCCTGCTTGTCCACAACAATGAGACGCATCTCATTTTAAGCTTTTAAACCTCCGGAGCAGATGTATCAAATTACTTCAAGAGCCTGGTTTTTTTTACACATCTGCGCGGTCAAAAAAAAACATTGTTTTCCCATTGACTGTACCCGGCGACCTAAGCTCCATCTTAAAAACACAAGCACCGAAGCAATTAATAAACACCGCCACCACACGACCAATGTTGTATTATAATGCACGGTGCACACTTTATGGTCGTGTGATTTTGTACTATTCGGTTCAAAGTCCAAGGTATCGTCGATACCAAGGGCGGCCCTGCCGTAGGCCATGACGACCCCCCCCCCCATCTCGCGCTCATGCAGCGCGACTCTTGTTTAATCGACGCAAAGTCGCGTTCGTTTTCCTCGCAACTCTCCTACACGCCTCGCTAGCTCACTCGCAAAGGCAACACTGGCGCTGTAGAGTCGCGAAACGTGCATTAACGTTGTTCTAAAATACGCGTTAAAGGGACGCAACGCGCGCAGCCTGAACCAGGCCCAGGCCTCGCATCACCGCGCTCAAAACCGACGACACATTCACCACGAACGGCGCATAAAAGCGACCAGTTTTTTTTAACTCTACCGGCATTTAAAAAACACTCGTTCTTGCGAAGGCCGATCGGCTTGAACGACAGTGAATGCGCGGTATATATTTTGTTTGTGTGCGTTTGTACCCTGGTAAGAAAACGACATGGCTGGTGCTGGCCTTGTCCACCCCCGCGAGCAGGAAACGCGCGCGGGACGCCGCTCAAACGCCAGCAAAGTGAGATTCCAAAACTCAAAACGCCCCGAGGGCAGCGCCGCCACGTGGGCTGGACGATGATTGCGAGGCGTTGTCCTATGTAAAAGCGCCTCCAAGGCGTTTTGCTTTTACGTTGAGCCCACGCTCAATCGCCCTGGTCGGGATCAACGTGCGTGACTGCGAATCCCCTGCTCGTGCCAATTCAGCGATTTAACCTCTAGATGTAATTTCGTAGCACGCATAGGTGACGAATGCTTTAAAAAAATTGCAATTACATAATTAATGCTGTACTTGGAAATGTAACCCCGATTGCCAGGTGTTGCCTTGCTCACTTAAAGTTATACTTAAATTCATTCCATCCAATAACTGTCAGTGTTTTTGTCATTGTAAGACGAATTGATTTTCCGAATGAATGGGGCTCTGAACTTACACGTGGGGCATCTTTTGTCAACGCGCTGCCGGGCAGGGAGGGCTCTCAACACGTCTCGACGAGTGGTGGTGGGGGAGGGGGGGCGGTTTATGTTGACCATACTTCACCGCGCCGGTCACTGGCGAGTTGGTGAAGGCGGGGAGGTAGAGTTGGGGCAGCATGAAAGTGCTGTCGTAATTTAATTGTCGTTGATGCATCGTCCTCTGCTACCCAAAACCCGCCAGTATCTCTCTGCATTATATAATCAAAATAATATATAATCACAGAAGCAGTGCTTCGTGGAGACACTCCGAGGCTGCCTTCAATTTCACCGACTCTCATCAGGACGCGGCCCAACTAAACCAATGCCATTGCCTAAACACCTAATGCTGTACCATTTGTTTTCCCTCTTAAGATAAATCAATTGTTGAATTGAACAGCCGCGTTCCCCAGCTTCGGCAACCCACGCTGCCGCAGAGTGGTGAAGTATGGTCGAATGTCCACGCGGCGTGGAAAGGGCACCTTGTCTAGCAGTAGATTGACACGGTGTTTGTGCACTTACAATGTGCAGTTGGTGCTCTCGGTGGTGAAAGCACAACGGGGTCAGTCTCGGAAGGATGTTGGGAAAGATGGCAAGTGGCAGTAACTTGTTGCCTCGACTTTTTAAGTTAGGGATAGGGGGGGGGGGGTCAATGCAGTGACATGATGAAGCAAGTTTAAGATTGGGCAGGATGGAGGAAGTTTAAACCAAGGGCCGATCATTTTGGAGTTGGCCAAACCTCCCGATATCGGGCCACAGAGCTCGGGCAATTGTTGGCACTGGTTTTGGCCGACTTTACACTCATCTTTGGTTTTCTACATAGACTTATTTGTGCGCGTTAACGAAAAACTTGCACGCATGATAACATGTGTGTATTGTGGAGAGGATGAGGGTATTATTTACTGGCTCTCGGCCTCTAACATGAGGCTGCCGAAAATCATCCGGTTAAACGGAACGCTAATGAAACTCAAGTTTAAAGTTGATTTTGTTTAACCAGGTGATTAGCACCTCAGATGAGCACGGTTGGCTATGTACGGTACGAAAGAAGCTCAACTTACAGAACCAAAAAGAGCAATTTATCTGGAAGAGTGAATTGGGTCACCAGAATGACAAACACAATTGTTTTTCTTTAAACAATAATTGAAAGGGCCACTTGTGACAAATTGTAAATTTTAATACAGCAAAGAAGCACCTATTTATTCGCCTGATTCCACAGACACACACTTCATTTTGACATGTCTTACCAAGTTATTAGCCTTTGACCAAATTATGCCAAATGCACCCGATCAGGTATCAGATGCTCAGCAGCGCTGAGCCTGGATAGTGCTTGGATAGACAGCCCACCATGCATAATGGGTGATACAGGCTGCTGGGCAAAGTGATGGCCACGTCATTAGGCACAGACCCTGTTTTCACTATTCTAAATGAGCAAGGAATACACTTGACGTTTTATGCAAGCCCATTTTTTTATTTTATTAGGCAACACTTTCAAATGTCATTTTGTCCACGGAATCCACATTAATGTAACAGTTCCGTAACGTGCATACAAAACAGGTTTTGCAATTAAAGACTTGGAAGGCAAACACCTCTTTCAAAAGAGTGCAACGTTTTGTCCAGTAATTTAACCCTAGGTTAACAAAACCTTAAACTGACCTCACAACATGATATTCAATAGTTCCGTACTTGTATAAAATTAAAACAGCACACTATGTTTTCGCAAATAAGATAGATCTATAAAAGATTGGTTAAATTAATTCAATGGCTTAGCTTAATTACTTAACTATCAACTTCACATTTTGAGGCAAGTATAATTTATCTCTTATTCAAGGCAAACCGATTTTTACGTGACGAATTTTGTTTATTGGCTATGTGCGGTACTGCAAATCAGTGACAGACAAAACGCACCGCCGATGAGCACGGTTGGCTTTGCACGATACGAAAGAAGTTCAACGGACATACTTAGCAAATGTAGGTTTCCACAATGGCTGTGCAGTACATCAACTCCAGATTGTGAATTTAATACGTTTCTAAACATGTAATTTAAACATACACCTTGAGCATGCAAATGACAAAATGTTCCCCATTCACCAAAATAGGCCAAGCATCATTGCATTGGTAGACCATTTGTGCTTCATCAATGGAACATGTGAACCTTATAAATTTCTTAATAAAATTTGAGTGACAGATTAGTCCCAGAAAGGCGTTACGTTTCAAAGCAAATATATAAATTGACGGCGGAGTGGCAAGTTGCTCGCTGCTCTGTGAACTCAGTGGCCCGAGCCTGTTTCCCAACCAAGGCTAAAATCAGCGGCGGCCGATATCCGAACTGCTCCTGAGCAAACCCCTTCACCAATCCGCACTGACCAGATTGGTGAAGAATGGTCAAATTACCTCTGTGCTAGACATGGTGTGAAAAGGTCATCTTCATCCAGCAGTGCAACGGTAAAAGGGCTGTTAATGTTATTATGCTTGTTTTTACCCAGAAAGCCTCACTGAGCCTCACTCATGACTCCTTTTTCCAGGAGGTTCCTGACAAATTTCAGAGTAGGGGGTGATGATTGCTATGTAGATTCCAATTTAGTAATTTGTGGGTTATTTTTCATATTTGTGAATTCTGGACTATGACGCCGGCAAACATTGGCCTACTCTTTCAAATGACGTAACGGGATATTTTAACGTTTACTGTGAAAGAAGACACGTATTTTACGGTTAATATACCCGCAGTATTAATCAGGGCAAACGCGCTACCGGTTGGCCACTCCCTGTAAATACTGTCCACCTAATGGCATAGCTACATGAAGCATAGTCCGCTGCACAACTTACAATACAAACACAGCTACCTGGCTTTTTGTGCATCTGTTTAAGCAAAAAAACACCTTCTGGTGTGAACAATTTACAACTATTGTTCAGCAAAACAGTAGCAAATCCCAACTTATCTAGAAGCAGTCCTTCATAAATATACCATTTAACCCTGCAAAACCACAACAGACGTGTAAAAACAAGTAGCACACAATCCTACTCCTGCATCAAGCACGTGTAATGACGTGCCGTCACCAATTACAAGCGTCGTAGTATTTACACGTTCTTGCAAAATGGTCAGTCGACACTGGTGTATTTCTGGAATCATTTCGCAGTCACGTAGCTCTTACATGGAATGACAAAAAAAATACGGGGTCTTGCTGTATGACCCTGTGTCGAATGACCCTGTGTCGAATGACCGTGTCGAATGACCCTGTGTCGAATGACCCCGTGTCACCGTCACTATCAGACGTGAGCTCTCGTGTTTTGTCTTGTTTACTCAAATCTCTTTCAATTGTACCCACAATTTACCAATAAATAACTTCCCCGACACAACTATGGTTTATGTAGAATCTCCATTGCGAATAAAATGCATTAATCTCAATGGGCTTTTAGTGGATATTCTCATAAGAAAAGTCTGAATTCTATGTGTTGGAATTGAAACGAGACATTATCAGTGTGACATTGAAAGGCTTCCTACCGTTTTTTTAGAGACCAGAAAGAAAAAAAGGTACCAAAATTACGAATAACCCCATCAGCTCTCGATTTGATTTAACCTGTTAGAAAATTCCACACTCCCCTTAATTCTCACACATTTAGACTCATGTTTGGCAACACATTATAAGCCGCATGACGAAAGTGTTGCAAATAATAAGGGAGCCAAGCAAAGTGACTGCACAGATTGTTCAGCAAAACAGGCAAATGACCAAGGTGAAGCTAATTATAATGGGTGTTCGCGAAGTCAATCAACACCTAAAAATCATCCGCTACAGCTTTACGAACATCCTCCATTTTTCATGTGCGCTGGCAGTGGTAAGCAAGCCCAAATAACAAAAACTAATCAAATTCGTCAATGACCCAGTGCTTAAAGTAAACATTTAATATAATAGCCGACTGTTGAAAGGCCTTAAAAAGAAGGGCCATTGCCCAAACACGTCTTCCCTAAACCATATATATTTTCCTTTAATGGCAGTCTTATTAAGAAGTGTGTACCTGCATGAACAACAACCGCAGGGATTGGAAACTCCAAGCATTAAGGTCCCAGGCGAAGTCAAACGGCACCCTTGCCGACCACTCAACAGAGCGAGAGAGATAATGGTGCTCTTTCAACTGTACTACTGTGTGTAGGCTGCGAGCTCTTGCGATCACTACCAAACGCCAGCACCCATAACACTGTCACGTACAGTTAACTCTCAATTATCTGTGGGTGGAATATCCGGGTTTGCGGGTCAACAGTGCTTGCAAAAAAACCCATACATTAGATATCTTTACACACGCCAGTTCGATTAATTACGAGTCGCTCCCTCACTCGTCGAAGGTCAGCGACCCGGTGCCCACAAACAGGTTGGTAAGTAAACGGGCAACATGTTCTATATCTTCACCCCCATCCTACGTAGTAAGACAAATCATTTGCATAGCCTCCCTAACCTATTTTTTTTGCATTCGTTTTTTAGTTTCATCCTGGGCACCCCTCCAAAAATTAACCTTGATAATCAAACGGTGGTCATTTTAATCAATCTGCACCAAAGTAAAAGTTGATTCCCTTACCTTTCACAGACCTCGCTCGTTGAACAATAACAATCATCCTATTAAATAGACCTATATAAAAGCGAACGTCGGATGCCGTTACGGGAGCGTTCGAGCGCGGTTCTAGCGCAGGACGCGACCGCCGCGAACAGGCAAAACCTGCGCGGGGCACCCGCTGGCGCCGCGCTACGTGTGCACCCGCCGCTTGTCTTCGAAGAGGCTGCGCACGAGGTAGACCTGCAGTGCCGAGACTCCCATGAGCGCCAGCACGCTGGCCGCCGACCACAGGTTCACGCGCGCCAGGTTGCTCTCCTGCAGATTGCGGTCGCGCGCCTCGAACGCACGCAGCACCGTCTGGATCTGGTGGCTCCGCGAGAGTCGGGCCTTCACGCTGTTCAGAGACTCCTGCGGAGGGAACGCAGGGCGAGCCGTTAGTGGCGGTGCTGGGCGACACAAGCGACCGTTAGTTTGTTGTCCTTCCCGCGCACCTCCAATAAGCACGGTTGGCTACGTACGGCGCAAAATAAGTTCAGCATACACATGTACATACGTAGGACGTCGATACTGGCATCCAGGTCGTATTACGTGTGTATGGAACGACCATGAAGGATGTCAGTGTAGAGTCGTGGGTCTTGTTGGATGGATATAAAATACATCCCCCATGCCCGATGGCGCATGTACCGTCTCCCTAGTTTGGCTATTATCAGGCTATAAGGCAATGTGAGGTACTGGGTTCAGCTTGATGGTAGGCCTCCCCTTGCATTAACTTTCTTGATAAATCCTACCCCTTTTATTTTTTTTTTAATTAAACATATTCCTTGTCGAGGTGTCTGACACCCAAATGGGCTAAAAACAACAATAAAGGTTTCCATGACCCACTAAATGTTACAAAAAATCTCTCTTTAGCAAGGCGACTTTCCTCCCTGGTCCTCCATGATCACCACATTTCTTCATAAGGTATGTGTGTGGAGGGTCGAGCCGCTCAGCTGTGAGGCATTTCCGATGCTGATGACCCTAAACCAACGCGATCCCTGCTCCGAGATGAAAAGCTTTCCTGGTGTCGCCTCAGTGGGTGGTCACACTCGGGGGATTTTTTTACGTCAAGGTACCGCAACACTACGACGACGTCGCTTAAAGGTATCTCATGGGTAGCTCTGTGATATCTGCTTCCGTGGGCCATTCTAAATAGCACAATCGGGACAAAACTGGGGAAAAAATTACAAAAAAAACAACACCGAGATGTAGGTTCGTGGATGTCATACTTGTACAGGAACAGAAACGATGGGAGATATTTTAAGATCTCCAACAGCTCTTGATTTCATCATTATCACCACCATGTCTTCCGCAGCCAGAGTGACTTGTACGTGTACATAACGTTCAGAGCTGCCCTGCCCGGTCGCACCTGCAGGTCCTCCAGCTTCATGCCGATGAGGTGGTCGGCTGAGATGGCGTCCATCCACTCGGGCCGCTCCTCCTCGGGTTGCATGTGGTCGAGCAGGATCTCGAAGAAGATCAGCTTCTCCGAGATGTGGCTGAAGCTGTTGTCGAAGCAAATCTCATAGTCCCCCTCCTCCTTGACGTCTACGCTGTCAACGGGAGAAAAACAAAACCAAATGATCATGCGCGTGCATGGATTCCGTAACGCTTTCCAACATGCGTTTGTCGCCAAGTATTTAATTTGCAGTAGCAACGACAGCTTCCGAGCCGCACAATGAGCTGACGTCAGATGCGATCATCGGGAAGGGAGGCAGAGTATTGTGACGTTATCACCTTGGTGGACAAGGCTTAACCCTTTAAGCGATTGTTTTAATCCCCAAGTCAGGACTAACCTTTTGATCAATTTGGCCGGTTTAATATTGGGCAGATTCCTAATAATACAACTTTTTACTCAAATTATATTTTATACCCAATCATCTTTACAATAATTATTGGTACCCTATGCTACGGACAGAAAGAGCATGTAGATAATGCATTAGCTATTTATAGCTTATTTGGAAAGCGTACAAAATGTGGTATTTCCATTTTGTGCACTTGGCTCAGCACAATGTGAGTGACTGGTTGGTTTGAAGTCTGATTAAACTATAATTCAACCAACTGAGGTAGATAAAATAATTATTTTACAGTACCCTGTGGACTGTGGATGATAAAAGGTTTAACAACACGAATAAAAAGCACACGTTGCTATAGTAACCCAATTCATCTTGGTAACCCAGCTCACTTACTAAGACTATCCTGTTGCCTTGAATTTTCAACTGGTTAAAAAAGAAACGTGAAACTTGAAACTAAAGGTCTTCTTGACCAATGTTTTCCAATAGTATTTGTTCAAACATGCTTAAAATAAACTCCTATTTGTTTAAGCAGGCGCTTAAACAAATACTAATGGATTAAAGTAATGTTAATATTAAGCCGTGAAACAGACGCTTGTCCATTTATTACAATGTACAACTTATCATGGGTCTGTAAATCTTCCAATCACTGTCTCTTTGTTGCAATATTCTCCATGGTATAATTTGCTAAGTACTATCAGTGGCTTTCTATGGAATGGCACTTACCACACTGCTTTTGTATAAGTACTGGACTTGAGGCTCAAAATGATTAGCCCAATGAGATCCCCAATAAGCATGCATAGATCTATGCAGATTCACTTTAATGAGCCACTCATTATGAGACTAGTTAACATTATCAACTTTAACAGCAAACACACCGTGAGCAAAGGCAGGGTATTAAGCCTAATGTTTGCTTTTATAAGGCACTAAATGCTAATAAAAAACTCTTCCTCCGAGAGTAACATTTTTCATGAACACTTTCAGGAGTGAGGTGGAGCCATAATAAAAAAGCAGTGGCGTAGCTCTCGAGTGTGCAGGCTGTGTAACTGCACTGGGGCCCTTGCATCAGAAGGGCCCAAGTTCCAAGTTTTCCTCCACATTTAGAATCAACGTGCGTTTACAGTATTTGGCTGCTATACATTTTCACGTGATGGGCCACTTCGTTGAGCTATAATTTGTGGCCAGGTCGCTTCTGAAAAACAGCTACATAGCACAGTGGGTTCTCACCCAGTAAGTAAGAAAAACTATCAGGGAGGAAATTGGGACAGGGCTGGCCTCATTTAAATTATTATCCTGGGGCCCATGTCAACCACGCTAACAACCGCTGAGAAAAAAAAAAACGGTCCTCGTGTAGCCTTTCGAAATGTTGACCATGTTAAATGACCTCTTAGCAAAAGATGGACTCGGAATATACAACTTGATCAAAAGCAAACATTTTTTTAAAAGGACACCTGTGCACCCCATCTCCCTGGCGGTGTTCGGCCAACAGAACGGTCCCAGAGGGCGCCGTGACCGTGAAGTCCACGTCAAGCTCCCCGCCATCGATCACCTGTCCTCACCACGGCAGCCAGAGCATCGCCAGAGGGGACGGAGAGGGGGAGTCACATCAGCATGGCAGGTGTCCAATGTGAAGACGAAATGTGGCCAGAAACTTAACATAAAGTCAAGCCACGGTTGGAAGAAATTGATGCATCATTCAAAGTATGTATGTACTGTATATGGAACTTCCTTCGCACCGTACGTAGCCAGCTGTGCCAATCGTTGAACATTCTGACTCAATGTTGACGTTGTTCAAACGACCTTTTAAACCTGAGCCAGTGTTCAAAATATGTATCAAAGTTGAGACCAAAGTTGTTAAAGGTCATCCTAAATCTGGCCCAACGTCCAAAACATGAGCAACACACCAAAGCTGACGAAAATTTGAACCTCCACCTGGGCCAATGTTCGAAACACAGTCCACAAGTTGAGACCAAAGTTATCCTCAATCTTACCCTCCACATCGGGACCAATATTCAAACATGAAACAGACCACAGTTGTCCATAAACAGATCTTCAACCTGACCCAATGTAAAAAAAAAATTGACCAAAGGTTGATCCGAAAACTGGATAACAATGTTCCAAAACTTCACAAAAAGACTAAAGCTGCACAGAATTTCACTCCAACCTTGAATTCCCACGTAAGCACAAAATACCCAGCCAAAAGTTGCCCTCAATTTGGTTCGTTGACTTGGCCCATGACTTGACCGTGATGTGACCCAAAGGTGTCCCCCATTGCCCCGCCGCGTCCCCGCGGGGTTACCTGGTACTCAATCTCCACCACGGTCCCGGGCTTCACGGGCTGGTAGAAGCATTCTCGGTGCCCGGGCGCCAGGGAGAAAGTGAGGTCCGACTCGGGCGCCTGTGGAATCGCTTGGGCTGGCGACAACAGCGCCGCCACCGCCAGCAACAACAGCGGCGGCGACAGCTGTCCGAGCGCCTGCCATGACCCCACCGCCATGGCGAGCCACAACCAACGTGGGCTCCTCTACCGTGCGATGGAGCCGACCCAAAAGAGCCGACGGATCCGAGAAAACCCCACGGGTTTTAATTCTCTAGCGCGCTTAAGCAGCGTTCGCGACCCACCCTCCCCCCGCCGCCGCCGCGCCTATGCTTGTCCGTTGAAGGAAATTCAACCGAGCGATGCGATCAGTCACGTGGGCACGCGGCAGTTTGGATGATTGCGCAATCGGCACCCCCCACCCCATACACACCCCTACAACGTGGATTGGTTGAGTTGATCGGAGTGACGTAATTGACCCCCCTTCCACCGCCGCTGTCTCCTCCCCCTATTCATTATTATCGGTTACACGACGTCATTTGGTTGCGTATGCCGAAGATGAATGGCCGCATCAGATCAACTGTAACGGGGCGCACGCGCGACACGTGTAAGGAAAGGGGTTGGTGGCTTGACCAATCACGGTTGCGCGCCTATTTCTAGTCACATGACGTCAAACAGTGGACGCGCAGCAGCGAAGTTAAATGACGTCACGGAACAATATTTAAATGAAGCCTCAGCCAATCAAATGTGAGGTCGGGCGCGTCACATGATCGCAACGGACCTATAAGAGGAGGCAGCAACGAGGCGCCCATTGTTAAATTGGCGGCAGGTGAGTTGAGTTAGGCGGCAACGTTTGTTACAGGGCAACGACATTACACATTTTTCGTTGTTTAAAAAACAATTACAGCCGCGTACTCGAATTTTTTTCACAACTACGATCCTCGCGTAATAATTTGTTTTAACCCGTATAAATAACTGCGTGCCTAACATGCGGCGCAGCATTGTGCACCGCGTTACGTTACATTTGGTAGAGCGGATCGGTGCAGGCCTTTTACACGATGCTCTTTGGTTCTATTCGGTAAAGTCACGTAGGTAAAAAAATAAAACAACAAAAATCACGACGTTTCGGCCACAACACAAGTGGCCTTCATCAGGTGAAGGGACCAGACTGTACCGAGGACAGCGCTGGAGCGAAACACAGCCAAGCCCAGACCGCGACCTGTAAGCTTGTGTGAGAGGAATTAAGGTGCCTTGACAAAGGCATTTTTGTCAAGGCCGAGTATTCCTGGTTCGCCTGGAGCCGTGGTCAATGCACTGCTGGATGAAGGCCCTTCCTTCGTCCGCCGCGTAATCCCCGAGCGCAGCTGCGGCTGCATAGCCGCCTGTGGATCCTATGGCTCTTTCCCCTCCTTGCGGGGCAGACGTTTAAAAAAAAAAGTTAATCTTAAATGTAGATTAAGTTTATAATGTAATTGATTAAATGTCGGGGAATAGGTCACTACGGAATGTCTGGGTGACACTACGATAAATTTGTATTGTAAAATAACTAGAGGTTATTTATTTTGTTAATTCTTAATGTGTTTGCCATCTGCTGTGTATCCGCTGCTGTGTACGCGTATACCCAGTAGCCTCTGCACGCGTGTGTGTGATGCGGCTCTCGAACTCTTTTGGTCAAGAGATATGGAAATAAACTCCTTAAACATTTTTTTAAACAGCGGTTTTATTCTAGATTTAAAGCTAATTCCTTTGTCAAGGCACCTTGTTTCCTCTGAGCGTGGCTGTGTTTCACTCCAGCGCTGTCCTCGAGACAGCCTGATCCCTTCACCTGATGAAGGCCGCTTGTGTTGTGGCCGAAACGTCGTGATTTTTGTTTTATTTTTTTACCTACGTGACTTTACCGAATAGAACAAAAGAGAACGGTGTTGTTAACAAATTCGTTTAACCCGCGGTCGAGAAGTGCGTCACTGGCGCCTGCGTTCTGCGAGCCGATTCCACAGTTTAGGGACCGCGGCGTTTTTCGCCTCGGCAAGGTAAAAGGTCAAAAGCAACGAGCCTACTTTTACCACCCTACCTTTTACCCTTACCCCATACAAATTACCCGATCACAGGGTAATTACTGGGGTGGTACTACACATGAACAAGGTTTGTAACAGGTAAATGCTAGGTAGAGCGCTTTATTCATCTCTAGAACACTATCGATGATTCCAATTTTAAATGGAGGCCACGGACTGCGCGACGGAGCTTTTAGCGAGCGGTAAACAAGGTGTGTACCGGGTAATACTTCACGTTACCTTTACCCTACCCTTTACCTTACCCCTTGGCGTGTCGACACCGTTACCCCTTTTACTCGGTAAAAAGGGGTAACTTACCTTGCCGAAGCCTATTTCCACCTACACAAAAATATATAATTAATATGCCGTCCATGAAAATGTTTTAATTGCTTGAAAGGAGGCAATTAATTATTTGATGTCGATTTTAATACAGGCATGCATTGTCACCGGATCTGAGTACGTGTGCAAAATGAGGGATTGATTGGACAACGCGAAGTTGACGAAATGTAAATTACAAGATTTGACCACGACATTAGTCAAGTTAAAACCGTTTAATAAAACCTGAAAATTTGGATTTGATTGGACAACAGGAAGTACTGTAGACTAACTTTTGATTACAAGGTTTGATTCATGTTCTTGGTTCGGTAAAGTCACGTAGAAGGGAAATAATAAAAATAAAACAATAAAATTATCACAACGTTTCGATTGCAACACAAGCAATCATCATCAGGTGTGAAAACCACAGCAACAATTTTTTGTTGTTGCTGTGGTGTTATCGAAACTGCTCGAGAATTGTATTATTATTTCCCTTCTACGTGACTTTACCGAAAGAACCAATAATATAAATTTCAATAAAACCGTTGAAAAAAACCCCAACGAAGTGGGGCTCCACTCTCGGAAAGTTTGGCCGAGCCCCTGGTGCCAACTCGCGACCTTGCCCCCCCCCCCATTGCGCCATCTCCTTGCGGCCGAAGTGCCCTGCAAACGAGTCGCGATGAACCCGCGACAGACTCGGCATTTGCGTCCCTTAAGAGCCCACATTAGGTCGCCCCCCCCTGACAACCAAGATTGGCCTCACGTCGTGCACCATTAATTTATCTCGCGGATTCGTTTACGCCAATGTTGACGGCGCTGCCCTCTCTCATCCTTTGGTTGTGAGTCTCACCCCATCTTGACGCGACCCACACGAGCCCCGACTCTCAACATGCGATGGTGCCGTCAAAGCCAATGTCAAGCGGAGCCGTCAATGCGAGCTTTTTTTTTTGGCAACGATAGATTTCAATTTTTTTCTCGAGAGTGCCCATTGCAGTGACCCTCATTTGGGATTTTGCTGTTCGACGTCTCTGGTGGTGAGTCTCGTTCGTGCACAACTTCTGGGACGTTACTTTGTATTGTTTTTTGCACGGATGAAAACGTGCACAGATATTCGCTAGGTGGCGTTCGTGTACCGCATTTTGTTGGAGATGTTCTCGTTCAATCCAAAATGACCACCTACGTCCCGACCACGCGTGCGCGCACACAAAGTAGATTTTACACATCCCATCAGCCTCGCAGCTTTCTGGGAAGTGCGTCTCGGTAGCCGCGTTGGATTCAATGCAAGATCACTTTTTGGTGACCCTGATCACTTGCCATTGAGATTTTCCTGGCTTATTTGGTTCTCGCTTGGTTAAACAAAAGTCACTTCAACTCATGCCCGGGTTTTTACTTTCATTGTCTTAATACGCGGTTAGGATTGTTAAACAAATAAGGCTGGATACTGTTAAATTAAAAAGCCATCCTTAAAAAGGGGTCGTAACTTTTTCCTGTCCATCCAATTTTGAAGATTTTGGTAAACCAGACGAGAACACGAAAGGACCACTCGTCGGGATCGCGTTTGCAAGCGTGACCTGGATCCGTGTGATTGTGAGCTTTAATCGATGTGAATTGGTGAATCTGAACTCCCTTGATACGTGTGATTTATCCATACCGGATCGTTTTACTGCACGTCTATGGGCGGTCTCGTTCGCTCCGTTAGTTTAAAAGCTAAGCATGTAATTTTCACGATTAAACGTGTTTCTCTTGAGCGTAGAGAATGGATTTGGATGAAGAAATCAATTGCACGTCTCTTGCTAATTATTGAGGGAGCCTCGCTTTGCACTTGAAATGAATTGATGTTATGCGAGCTTATTGTGTTAGAAGCGTCCTTGTGGTGATTAATTTAACATGCTTTTTTTGGATTTTATTTAATAAAGTGCCAGACGATGTTAACGTCTTGTTTCAATGTGTGTAATTTTAACATTGTATGATGGTTTAAGCAATGCCTGTTTAATGTTCTTAGGTATGAACCCACGAGGGCACAAACGTGTTCTTTGCTAGGGGAATACATTTCTACGTTTTAATTAACAGTACTTGACATCAGCTACTCAGAAAGTCAACTCGTTTATTAAGGCTTAATTACTAACAACACTGTTACTCGGTTTTTGCGACTTTTTATACCAAGAATCCTCTACGGTTCCTTGATGATAATGCCAATTTTTTCCCAAATAAATCTTCACTGAGACTTGAAGGTCTATGACATTAATTAGTGTTTGGTTTCTTGCGTTTGAAGAACAGGAGAACGCGGATAAAACGTGAGGAGTTAATGGTCCTGTCATCTGGCGGGTTTGCATTAAAACACCTACACTACCAGGCAAGGCCTCGTGGTCACCCATCAAAGTAGTAAATAACCCAAGCTGAAGCCTGATTTGCTTTAGGGGGAACAAAACTGACCAGTGATTTTTTTTTTATCACGGGCAATAATTAAACTATAAAGATCCTAAAATCACCAAAGATGGAATCAGGAAATTGCACAACCGTAATGTGAGCGTGTGGTTATTTGCCTTGCTTGGGCCGGGCATTTTGTTTTTTGGCTACATTTTCGTTGTCTACTGAGCAAATAAGGTTCCCTGTAATAGCGAGTCAAATTGTATTTTCAGTACACTGCTGGTGTGTGTTTGTCGACGGACAGCATGAATTGGAGGTCTGTTATGGCGACTAAACTTAGAGCAAACCAGAATTGCAAAGGGAGAGAAAGAACACGTGATGAATCGTAAGTTGCGCATATCCACTTCATTGTTGGCTGCATCAACACTGATCGCTGGATTTTGGCGCGGCATTGCAAGCAGCTGGACTGGACGACGCTTGAAAAGACTGCAGATCGTGAATGGTGGAGAGTGTCGCGCGTGCACATCATCAACCCTCATAAAATTTTGGGATGGGCCCCCTTCCGATTACGATGATTGTGGAGGTGCCCACAATTGTGAGTTCCCGCTTTCTGCACAGAGAATTGGCCGGCGCTCTTCCCCCATGAGCCGGACCGCACCGCGTGCAGATAGAGCAGCTCCGCTGTGTGCGGGGGAGAATGGGCCGAGGCTTGGCTGCCCAGAGTACGGCACGCAGGTGCAATACCCTTCTCACAACGTTCTCCTTGGCAGCCAGCAGAATATTCTTCGGAAGCAGAAACCGGCCCAGATATATAACAAAAAGCACACTTTTTTTTACGTGGCGAGTTCATAGCAAGCGATGTCAGCGCACGTGTTTCCATTGGTTTTATCTGTAAGCGAGTTTAATCGTGAGCGGGTTGCTGTAGTTTGTGCTTCCGCAGATTTCTTACGGCCGCTTGAACTCCTGCCCAGACGGGAGCCAGGGTTGGTGACCCGCGGATGAATGCCGTGCGTGTGCACCGTTTGTACCCTGAGCTTATCAGAGCGCAGGACACAGCAACGTTACAGGGGGTGCATATTGTGTGGAGAAACACAGTTCGATTCTCCCAGATACTGACCCCATACAAGCCAGTGCTGTTACAATCCACATGGAGCCTCACATGGTCGCTTTATTTTCGAACATCTGTGCACTCTTAGATTTATTTATGGACCGAGTTATGTAGAAACCTCGTTCCACAATTTGGCGGGTCAAAATTGTGCACCATGATATAAGAGACTTGTGAATGTGATGATGGTGCATTCCCAGTGATTGGGTCCTGGGATTTCCCAGAGAGGCTATAGTGCACGCTGTTTTTCATGCAATTTCCTGTCATTGGTGAGATACCCAACACATGTTACCAGTGTAGTGGCACGGAACCATGAAGGGGCAATTCACATGAATGTGCACAATGGAATAAATCTTCCCCTAATACTGCCTAAATGGTTTAGTGTTGCGAGATGGTGAAACAACGCCACTCACAAGCGCTGTATTGTTTTTGCGCGTGGCGATGTCGCGTATCCGTTTCGAGTTCACGCGAGCTGCTGAGATTTATGCCCCTCGTGCATATCCCTGGGCATGGGTTTGGTTCAATAACCGATTTATTACGATAATGGGTGTTTGCGTACTTGGTATAACGCATGCTGTGTTACAGCACAGAGGGCCACTTAATGTGCCATACAAATGAAAGGGTTGCTCTATTTTATACAAAGTCGAACTGCAGTGTGGGCCATCACGAGGGTGCCGCTATAAATAAGTCCAGGAGTAAGCTTAACAGATGAACTGTCGGGTTAACAAAATCCAAACCACTTCCTAAAATCCAAACCGTGCAATTTATTTATGCAGGAATTTAGTTTATTTATGCAGGAGAGTAAAGTCTAATGTAAAATAAACTTTTGATGAAAGTAATGGTGTGTTTGTCTGAACATTCTTTATTAAGCTTTTTTTTTTGGCGAGCAAAGCCGAGTCCCCGCCATCTAGCAACCGTACGGCAATAAAACATTTAACCGAGTAATGCGCACACGTACAGCTCGAGTTCGCCAAGCCACTGCTGGATGGGGGCTGCTGCCGACTCGGTGGCGGCGGTGTTTTGACCATACTCCAATGGTTCGGTGCAGGGTAGCGAATGCACGGACAGAGAAGTGAGAGCGTGGAAGTGCAATGCAGCGATTGATTGTGCCGCTCCAGCCTCATGCAGCGCCTGCCACGTAGCCCGATCGCAGCAACCTGTTTGCGCACGGCGATCGCCCATCCCAAGCGCTGCACGCTTCAACCCTGCGTCCGATGTTGGGTGCGTTGCACGAACTTTGGACGTCCGCGATTCAACGGAATGCGTGTACAAAATCCTTTGTGACATGAGCTAAGGAGCATAGGCTCCTGCTCCTCTCCGTTGTCCTCCGATTAGCACTGTTGGCAACGTGTGTCCGGTGCAAAATAAGTTTCAAGTGTCACTCCAGAGCCAGTGGTGATAACATTACCAGGGCAACAACCCAGTCTAAAACAATACAGCAACTTAAATTTTGATTTAAAGCTTTCGTGACTGCAGGGATTCATATTCTTTGTTCTTTCGGTAAAGTCAGGTAAAAGGGAAACAATAAAATAATAAAAATATAAAACAAAATTCTCACGACATTTCGACTGCAACACAAGCAATCATCATCAGGTGTGAAAACCACAAAAAAATTGTGGTTTTCACACCTGATGATGATTGCTGATGATGATTGCTTGTGTTGCAGTCGAAACGTGAGAATTTTATTGTTTTATATTTTTATTATTTTATTGTTTCCCTTCTACGTGACTTTACCGAAAGAACCAAGAATATGAATACAGCAACTGTTGACTTTCCACTTTGGGTGAGTTGATCAAGCGACACGTTTCCTTCGAGCTTGGTGGGCGAGAGCAATGGACAGCTTCACGAGTAGCCTCGTGGTGAATGCCTGAATGATCTACTTGAGTGCAGTGGCGTCACTTCGTTGTCCATGCGTTCACATGTATAGAGTCGTGCGGGGGGAGGCTTCAGGCTATCCGAGAGCCGTGGATCTCGCATGGAGACCGTAGACAAATTAGCGAAACGAGCTTGCGATGTTGCCCCCCTCCCCCCCCCTGGCAAAATTTTGATGACCGCAGTCGCGTGCACTCTGGGCTATTGTCTAGCGCTGTACCAGATGGCCAGTCGCATCTGCCGTGCGATGTTCTTCTCATGCAGTTTCATTTATTTGGCATAGCCCTGTGAGCCATTCGGCTCTTGAATCGGGTGCAACCGCAACAAACAAAAAACAAAAACCTCACCGTGGCCAACGATTGCTGGGACAGCCACTGCGCCGTCGCCTCCTTCCTTCTGCTCAAACAGTCTCATCACCACCACCTTGATATGTGCTCCACGTTACTCTTACAGTCGAATACATCCTAGAATGGCGTCTCCCTGTAACAGTACTGAACTCGCTCCTCCCCCGCACCTCGGTACAGACCATTGTTTACGGCAGGGGTGGGGAACGGCCGGCCCGCGGGTCGTATGAGGCCCGCGAAATCATTTGGTGTGGCCCTGCCAAGGCAACCGCAGGCGGGACTCGAAATTCAATACGTCTAGGAGCAAACCTGGAAAAGCAGTTGCGAGTAGCAACATCGTCAATACCAGCTAACATCATCACACGCTCTTTGGTTATATTCGGTCAAGTCACGTAGGTAAAAAATAAAACAAAAATCACGACGTTTCGGCCACAACACAAGCGGCCTTCATCAGGTGTGCTTGTGTTGTGGCCGAAACGTCGTGATTTTTGTTTTATTTTTTACCTACGTGACTTTACTGAATAGAACCAAAGAGATCCTTGCAGTCACGAAAGCTTTAAATATAGAATCATCACACGCCTCGCCAAAGAGAAGCAGTTCCAGCCATCACAGGGGTCAGTTAATTAAATGTTTGACCAAATATAACAGGCTAATTTTTAAGTTGATACATTTTTTTATGGCACGCGAATGATGTTTTAAATAACCACATGGCCCTTGGCAGAAAAAAAGGTTCCGCACCCCTGGTTTACAGGGTCACTCAGTTTGACTGACATACCCCCCTCCACCTTCCATAAAGAAACAATGACCTGAATTGACAGGCATTTAAAGCTCGCTCATCACGTGTGCACCCCGTTACGCTCGGCTATTTTGGCTGTTGATTTTTTTAAAAAAACAAGATCCTCTTGACCATCCCGACAACGATCGAGGGAGGGCCCTTTGTGGGGCACTTGAGGCCATGCAGTTTACTCATTCACTGTGGAAAGCGCCCTCCACGACTGTACTCCCGTTAAGCAGCTGGGTTCACAGAGGTGTGGGGACAGACGCCTACGGTTTCAATTTTATATGCCGGGACGATCAACCGAGATTGCGAGACAGGCGTGCGTGTTCTGTCGTTCATGGCGGCGATGCGCGGTACGAGGTTTTAAAAGCACAGCTCGGGAGACGAGGCGGCGGGGTGGACACGTGGAAACAGCGTTCAAATACATATGTAAGGAATTAACCAAACATTACTCGGTGCAGATAACATGGCATTTGAGTGCACTGCTAATGTATTATCACGCCGGGTAGACGCGCGCTGCAGAGACACTGGGCAGATAAGTGGAAATGTCACGGGGTGTTTTGACAGATGGGGCCCAGTCCACTGAACGTCGCTTGGTCTGGCAGTGCTTTATTTTATGTTTAAAAAGTCAAGAAATTCATATTAGGTACGTTTCTTTTTTTAACAGACGGAAAAAAATAAATTCAGATTCCACAAAGTTTTTCTTTCAAGACTTGCGTGTCATGCTTGATGGTGGTTTTGGAATGCAATAATTTACATTTATTGTTCTATATTACAGAGTGGGTGGATGTCAGATCCAATTTGTGTTACTTTCTACAGCGAAGATGTGAAGATAATAGTCCCTGCTTTATTATTCCTGTTCAAAAGTTTGCTTTGTCAAATGGGGTATCTATTTTACAAAAACACGCAGGGAGTGTCAACTCGCTTCCTGCCTCGTTGAACAAAGTCCGTCATTGTCAGCTCTAGTCAAATGAGCGCAGAGCACGTGGTGGACACTCCACATTCCCATGGTGAGGCTCAGTCTGCATTGTGCAACAATTCAACGGTGGGATGGTGTCGGGTAGGCATCTTAGAGAAGCCCCCCCCCCCCCCATTAATCCGCATCGAGTGTTAATATTGACGTTAAGGATGTTGAACTTCTTTCGCACCGTGCATAGCCAGCCGTAATAATCAGACTTGCGGGGGGTGGGTGGGTGGGGGGGAGGACGACAAGCTAAACACAAAGCAGTTCCAAAGAAATGCGTTTTCAGTCCAGATGTAGAAGTGCATCACAGCTCCAATGGCTTCCTAATATCGGAAGGAAGATCGTTCCAGACGGCCGCAGGAGCGCATCTGAAAGCGCCGCGCGATGCGGTGGTCACCGCCTTTCTTTGTTCGATGGCAGCAGCCAAAAGCCACCGCCGCTTCTGCGAGGATGAGTGGTGCTCGAGAGAGAATCACTCGTGTGAGCAGCGGGGAGCCGCGGAGAACAGACAACAACAACAACAGCAACACGCTTCTGCAACCGTGTGGACCGAGAGGCGTAGTGCAGATGTTTTTTTGAGAATTAAACGGAACCCCCATCGGGCAGGACTCCACATCCATGGTGGTGTAAGTGGCCGCTCCTCGGGTTCACTGGCTCACGATCTTTTGAAACAATTTAAATGTGCAGCGACCAAACTGGGCGTGAGCTCTGCAGTTTGTCAGTGCTACACTACCGCTCTTGCCTTTCCATAATGTGGTACATTGATATTCTTGGGTCTTTCGGTAAAGTCCATAGGTGAACCTACCTACGTGACTTTACCGGAAGACCCAAGAAAATGAATTCCTGCAGTCACGAAAGCTTTTAAGTCAAGTGGTATACTCATTTTGGGCCGTCCATAAATGACGTCACGCGATTTTGGACGATTTTTGACCCCCCCCCCCCCCTCGTCACACGGCGTCACAAAAAGTCAGACCCCCCTCAAATATGA